TATGCTGCTATTGTCTTGCATGGGGCAGGGTGCAGCATTTTTCCTGTGCATGGGTCAATGATTAGATGTTAAGGGGATGAGGATGGGATTGCTTGTCAGCCAGACAGCAGGTGATCATTGGTTTTGCTGGTGAGCGACTTCAGGCCCAGCACTGAGCAAAAGCACTCTTTTTTAAAAAAAACAAACAAGCAAACAAACTTTCATCCTTCCTTCCAGGTGTGAACTTCATCAGCACACTTTATTGTGTGAACCTCCTTTAATGTATTTATAATCTCTAGAACCTACAAAATGCTGAACTGATTTCTACCGGAAATACATTTTTAATTTCAGAAAAGTAAACATCAAACACATTCAAACCCTGGTGTGAAAACTCACAAAAATATGTTTTTGGGGTTTTTTTTAGGAAGATGTTAGTATATTTGGAAATCCAAAATAAAATGTGGCACAATCAGGTTCTTTGGAGGGCACAGGTGAGTATCGTTTACAACTTGCCCTATATTCAAGCTGAACTTTATTAATTTGATCTTAAAAAGCTGAAATGGGATGTTATTCTTTCCTTCTTTTTTAATTAAGTGTGCCTGGAGCTTTAGAGAAGAAAAGCAATAAAAGGATATGGTTCCTACTTCCTGATCTAAGCATCTCTTTCTTACAAACACGCACAAGCCTAGGTATTCATAGGAGGAGATCCTTTTACATGCTTGACAGGAAAAGCCTGTGGGGATAGTACAGAGGCTTAACAGAAAAGATGAAAAAGAAATCCTCATTCTAGGAACAAATGACTCGAAGCTTTCTTTTGCACTGGATTAACTTTCACTTTAGTTTCTACTTTATCTGGAAAAGAGTTTCATTTTTCTGGAAATGGGATGGGCTGTCCTAAACAGCATGAGTGGAAGAAGAATTTGGACACCGCAGTTTTTAGCATGCAGATTTTTCCCCTTGGCCCATCTATTAACAAGCCTATTGTACCTCTGCTTCCTGTTTCTAACTACCATGCTGACAAAGTGTTTCTGCTACCACTTTTCTAGCTAACCTAGTATGCAAGGCTGAGTTAGGCACAGACTTTCTTGTTGGTTTCTCATGTATATGGAAGGTTTCGTTTTGAAACGATGTAAAGAAATGCAGCGACACAGATAAACTCTAGTGGAAACTCCAGCAGCTCGTTTGGCTGGAACTCAGCTACCCAGAAGGAAATTCGAACTTTACATTCAGTTTGCTAACTGAAAAGTCATTCAGAAGAGATCACATTCTCACTTTCAGGGATATGTTAACCCATCTATGCAACATAGGTCTTGGACTTACACAAATTTCAACTGTCTGACTCTGGCAGACAGATTAAACATCTACCCAGAGCCAGATGCATAAATAGTTCACTGCTACGTGAAGGGCTTTTGCTCAGGAATCATATTACTACCCCATGTGGCTATGGAATATATAAAAACACATATAATTTTACACTTGTATGAAAAGCTCTGTGAGAAAGGGGTGAAAATCAATCCTGCAAGGGTTAAAGCCATTATAAACATGCCACCCCCTAGAGATAAGGAAGGAGTGCAAAGATTACTGGGAATGATCAATTTTGTAGGAAAATATCTACCTAACTTAGCAGAGCAGACCAAACCAAACACCATAGATCACTCCTACAAAAGAATGCTCAATGGATATGAGAACATGAAGATGAAGCTGAATTTACAAACTTGAAGGAAAAAATAATGAAAGCTCCAGTACTAAAATACTATGACCCTAAAAGACCCATTAAATTGTCAACAGATGCTTCTAAAGAAGGCATTGGAGTAGCTTTGCCTCAAAAGCATAGGGTTAGCTGGAGACCAGTAGCATATGCATCTAGGGCACTCTCTAAGTCAGAGTGTCTATATGCACAAATTGAGAAAGAAAGTTTAGCTCTGGTATGTGACTGTAAGAAATGTCTCATACTCATATACGGGAAGCCTGTGATAGCTGAAACTGGTCAAGCCTTTGGTAACTATAGCGAAGAAAGGGTTCTCAGACATGTCACCCACATCACAGAGACTTCTTTCAACTGCAAATGTATGCTCTAGGCATACTGTACACCAGGAACACATCTACTTATTGCAGATACATTGTCCACAGCATATGACACAATGGAACACGACAGAATTCCAGACTCAGAGATAGATAGTACATGTTAATTTAATTAAAAGAGGGAGTCCTATCACAGATAAAATGTGGGCACTTATTGCAGAAGCTGCTGTTTAGGACATCACATTGCAAAAAGTTATACCTATTTGTGCTGGTTGGTCTGGAAAACATATACCTAGCCCCTACTCTCAGTTAAAGGAAGAGCTGTCAGTACTGCATGGCGTTTTGTTCAAAGGCTCATGACTTGTTCTAGCAGTGCTAAAGAAAGACACGTTAAACAGAATACATGAGAGGCTTCTAGGCATTGGACAATGCAAAAGGAGAGCATGGGATGCTCTATATTGGCCCAACATAAATAATGACATAGAAGATGCTGTAAAGGCTTGTACACCACGCCTAAAGTACAGATCAGTGCAAAGAAAAGAGTTCATGATTGTCAGTGAACATCTGTTGGGTCCAAAAAATTGATGAGGAAAAGGGCCTTATATCAGTGTCCAAGTAAAATCAAGCCTTATTGTTGGATTTGAACCATCTACCATTTCTGGATACATTGTCAAAAAATCTATGCTAGCACCATCTGCAAAGACATTAAAGTCACTCACAGTAATAACTTAAATCTCATTATAAATTGTCCTCAAAACTACAGTGCTTCTGAGACTTGGTCTATCCTTTTTTTCTTTTTTTTTTTTTTTGCACCTGTATAACCAGAAGAAATTAAACAGGTTTTAGAATTTAAATAGGAAAGCCTCAAAAAAACAACAACAAATAAACAGATTTAAAACTGTATTTTTGATGGTTACAAAAAGGATGGAGCCAGACTGTTCTCAGTGGTAGCAGATGACAGAACAAGAAGCAAGGGTGTCAAGTTGCAGCAAGGGAGATTTAGGTTTAGATAAAACTTTCTCACTAGGAGGGTAGTAAAGCACTGGAACAGGCTACCCTGAGAAGTTATGGACTCTTCATCCTTGGGAGATTTAAGACCGAGGTAGACAAAGCCTAGGCTGGAATGACCTAGTTGGGGCTGGTCCTGCCTTGAGCAGGGGTTGGACTAGATGTCCCTGAGGTCCCTTCCCACCCTACATTTCTATGGTTCTATGATTTGTGAGGTTGAAATCTATGGGGCTGTCAATGCTGAATTTGGAGGGAGCCAATGTTCATCTGTCTGCTCATCTCAATGTGGTGAGAACCACCGGCGTTAACTGTAAAGCAGACAGAAGAGCAAGACCCATCTAAATACCTAGAACAGGGGTGGGCAAAATGTGGCCCGGGGGCCGAATGTGGCCACGGGGCCCCTAAAAAATTTAGAAAATTAATATTTATCTGCCCTGGACTGCCTGTCATGTAGCCCTTGATGGCTTGCCAAAACTCAGTGGGCAGCCTTCTGCCCAAAATAATTGCCCCTCCGACCTAGAAGCTCTCTCTATGTCAGGTCATGAGTTGCCCACAGATCATTCTGCACAGACAGTCTAACTTTCCTAAGCTCAGGCAAATCCTGTGGATACAGGCTAAGGCACCTGGAGCCAGGTTCTGTTTCACCCAGTAGTCATCTAAGGGGACTTCAGCATCTAATTGCCATTCTAGTCTATTCTTTCCAAGTTCTGAAGCTCCTTTAATACATCTAATTATGTACTGTAGCATCATTTTGTTACCTCTTACTCTTGGGCCACAAAAAGGAATGAGAAAAAACACCCATCTGTTTTTGCATGAGCTGAGGAAGGGAAACAAACCTAAGTCATCAATGATGTACAGAGCAGGCTGGAGGCAGGAAGGATCCGTGAAGGGCACCCATCCTCTTCCATACCCTCTCTGGCCCCAGCAATGTCTCCCAGCCTGAACTGCACAGCAAAGGCCGGGGGACAGCTGGGAGCCTGGGGAAGCACCACCGCTCCCAGTTTGTGAAGGACCCTCTCAGTAATTTTTTAAAAATTAATATATTGTGTGTTCCAGGTCAAATCAGCTCCAAATCATATCAAATGAGCAGAAAACCGTATTGATTGAGCAGGCAGAACTCAGTTGTCCTAAATACCATGTACAGGTTTCCCTTGCTTTATGCGGGCTCTGTATGTGCAAATTTGCTCTTATGCAATGACCCTTTTTATACCCAAAATTCGTTCTAGGTGAGGTAAATTCACTCTGATGCAATCAGTGTGGTGGAAGCCAGCAGTCAGCTGCTTTGTGCGGTGCATTGTGGGAGTGACGTGCACCAAAATATAGTCTCCTATGTGGATCTGCGATGTGTTTCTGTAGTTGCCATCCCCATTATGCGCTTGTGTGCTCCACCTGCTGTTAGTGGGTACCAAAATTGTCTTGTAAAAGTGGTAGAAATGGGTCTGGGGGTCAGTACAGTCCCGGTCTTGGAACGTACCCCTATTTGTTACATTGGAAAGTGGAGTCCCTTTATGCGAATCCGAGTTACGCACCGTTTTCCAGGAACGCGTGTACAGCATAAAGCGAGGGAGACCTGTATGGCGCTACAACTGGTGAGCACCTCTGCCCCGGCGCTCACCCTAGGACTTCAGATACTCCCAATTCCACCCTACTGCAGACCCAAGCCCAGAGCTCTTGGGATTGACATGCCCCCAGAAACCACAGGCAAGCATCCTCTTTAGCCTGGGACTTCAGATACTTGCAGCCCACAAGCGACCCAAAAAGCCTCACCACTTCATTTCTTTCACTTCCCAGCCCAGGATGCTCAGGTCCTGGCTTTCCCATGCACACTGTGAGCCTGCCCCCGGGGGAGCCTCCATCAGGCCGGGGAGCCTGGTGCAAAACGGGCGAAGGAAATTCCGGCTCAGTGTTTAGCAAGAGCCAAAAATAGGGGCTCGGAGGGAGGAGGAGGAACTGCGGAGCACGGGGCAGGCTGATCTCTGCCACCGCCCATGACCAGCCCCGGGGAGGAAACGCCTCTTGTGTTGTGTGTTTGCAGCACACGGCTCCGCGACAGCGGGGCTGCAGGCCAGGGTTGCTGCCCCCGGCCCGGCCCGGCCCTGTCGCGCGTCCTCGCACGTGTGTCTGCCGGGCCAAGCCATGATGCTGCCCACGGCCGGCCCCAGCACCGGGCAGACCTGCGGGCTCGTGCTCATCTCCGCCGTGCTGCTGCAGTCCATCTGCGTGGCTGTGACTTTCCTCTACTTCACTAACGAGCTGAAGCAGGTCAGTAGCAGCCACATCTCGGCGGGGCTTGCAGCCTCACCACGCCGGGCTCTGCTCCGTGCAGCGCCGTGCCCGCCCCTGCACCCCCGGCGTGGGGCCGGGCCGGGAGAGGGCTCGCATCCAGCAGGAGGCTGCAAAGACTTGCTGCTTTGCTCGCAGCCGTGCAGAGCCCGGGGCAGAGACTGCGAGGGCAGCACAGGAGCGGGCTCGGGGGCATGGGCACAGCGGGCACACGTGGCCGGGGAAACAAAAAAACAGCACAATACTTTGCTCCCCCTACAAAAAACAAACCCGTGTTCAGACAGTGACTAAGCCCGGAGGAATGTGCAGCAGACAGCACAGCCCCGTGGGTTTCTCTCCAGCCCTGCACGGCACCGGCACCGGGACCGGCACCGCAGCGCCCCGGCGAGCCCCGCTGCTGCGCTGCGCTGCGCTGCGCTCGCTGCGCGGGGCCGGGGGCCGGAGCTGGCTGCAGGGACAGAAGTGAGAGCCAGCCTTGTGGGAGACAAAGCCAGTGTCCCTGCCCTTGCTTTGTTCAGCTGCAAAACTCCAGGGTTGCAGCTTGTTTCCAGCGACTACAGCTGTAAAACCGTGTGCCAGGAAGAGCACACACCAACTGGTGAAACTTCCTTAGCCTGACGAAGGGGTTTTTGAACCCGAAAGCTTGCTTCATAACTATTCTCCAGCTATTTGGGTTGGTCTAATAAACGATAGCAAATTCACCCAAGGAACCTTGTCTGCAGGTTGTTTTGAGTGCACTTTTGTTGCCGGTCACTTGAGGGTTGGTGAAATGATTGATGGAAGACAGTTATTTGATGAAAACAGGTTTGGCTGTACTGTACACCAGAGATTTCCACCTCCTGCTTACCCTGTTCAAAGTCCTGGGTTAACAGCCCTTGCATTCCAGTGATTAGTAGTATTGCACCTCTCCCTAATTGCCTTTTCTCTGAAGATACCTTTATTTTTAACCTTTAACCTTAGTGCTATTTTACCAGGCTGGGTAAATCATTTCCAATAATACTTACCCCAGAATAACTTATTGCAAAGCTACTCAAGCACAGATGTTGTGAAGGGTACATCCAGTCACTTGAGAGACAGCACTTGGTGGGGCAAAACAGTAGTCTAGTTGGCTGTGCATTACGGTGTGGACATTTGACTTTTATGCCCGAGTCTTTTCAATCTGCCCTGCAGAAAAAGTGAAGCAGACACATGATGTACAGCTCTTACCTGATATCAAGTTATTTTGGAGAAGTTAAAGTTCAGTGCACATACAGGATACAACCTTGGAGGGAAGCACTGGGGAAGACAGACTTCTTTCCACTTATAAAAAGTGCCTCAGTTTCCCTACCTGTAAAACAGGGCTAATATTACTTCTCTTCCTGAATGGTACGTGGTCTAATCCATTGAGGGCTGGGAGATGTTACGGCAATGCTAGTATAGGTGGTTATAGGTGTGTGACGGGTAAGCAAAAGGTAAAGGAAGCAGTATCTTTTCCATCCCATCCAGCTTAAAGAGAAAACTGTGGAATACCTTAAAACTGCCCTCTATACCTGGTCAGAAAATGGATAGTAATGGGTGATCTACAGTTTTTGCCCCAGTTTAACCACATTGTTTTAGAAGCCAATATAGTTAGATCAGTACAAAGCCATAGTAAAGGTTCACTTTAAAGGTGCATATAACCATGTAGCATATTGCCGTCAAGTTAAGGTAAATTTCCCAAACAACCTCATTAAACATCCCCCTGCAGTCTGCAGCAGTGATCCAGAAGGCTGCAGTAGCCTCCTTTCCAGCTGTGGCCTTTTGCAGCACTGATCCTAGAATACAAGACTGTTTATAAACATGTGGAAAGGCTAGAGTCGCAGTCCAAGTCTGAGGTTTCCTGTTTAAAATGAGCTTTGTAGTGTGGAAGGGGTGAATTGCCTTCATCCTGCCCCAGTGGAAAATCCATCATTCCTGTCCTTTGTTTCCAGCCTGACAGGAAAGCAATGAGGGTGGGGGAAGAGCATGACCCTGTGCTAGAATTTCCCAGGCTCCAGGAGCCAGTTACATGCTAAGTAATGTGATCCATCAAAAAAGGAAGAACTTGTATAGAAAACAGTTGAATTTAAATGAGTATTGAGGACTGCTTCCTCTGAGCTTGGGCAATATATAATAGGTCTTACCCCCGCCGCCTCTTGCCTCCTCCGGCATGGTTGATGCAGTATCACTGAGTTGTGGAAGCAGGATCACTGAGTTCAGTGTGTAATTTGTTGGCATTTATTTTAGAAGATGCGTTCTTATATTAAGCAACAGCGCCAGCTTGAGTTTCGATCATCTCCTAACCCCCAGAGCTGGAGCAGAGCTGTTGGCAATGCTCTTTACTATCCTAAACTCTTCCCATTGTACTCGATGGGGATTTTGGCACTGTCTTCAGTGAGGGGGGCAGAATTTCACCCTTTCTTCTATGCATCAGAAGGTAGAATTGTCTCCCTACAGCTGGAGATCACCAAGTTCAAACCTGTAATCAGATCCTACTCCGCTTCCTCAGAAGGAAAGGGGTTGAACGTGTTGTCCTGATTTCATTCCCTCATGGAGGCTAGGAGAGACCCAGCTGCCTGTTGCAGGGTTGAGTGGAGAGGACCGAAGTGGTTGTTTGGGTTCATCTTTAAAAGCCTGCATGGAAAGATCCCTTGAGTAAAGTAAATACATTTTACTTCACAACATTTACTTTATAAATACAAACTCAGGATTGGAGCAGCTAAAATAATTCACAACTTGAGTGATTTGAGATTGCATTTGCATAAAGTTTACTCCATTGAGCCCTTCACATCCGATTTATGACCAGAAAGATAACAATGTAAGTGTATTCTTGGACATCAAATATCTGCTTGTACCTAAATAAGTATGTAAAGTTGGGAGGAAGTTTTAAGCCTCCTTCATAAACTCACTGCTTGCTGTACCATGTTGGTACATTAAGAACAAAAAAAGGTGTTTCTAAATACAGGGACTTGAGTGACATACCATATATGCAGACCTGTGAACACATATTCCATGAATTAACAGTTGTCCTTCCTTCTAACGCAGCTCCGGGACACATACTCCAAGAGTGGCATTGCCTGCCTCACTGGGGAAGAACTGGGAACTTTCATGGGAGACTTGGATCTAAACAGAATAGAAGAGAGAGAGCAAGACCCCTGCTGGCAAGTAAAGTGGGAGCTAGGAAAGTTAATTAAAAAGGTATTTAGAAATTTTCTCACAGACTGGTTAATGGAGCTTGGTTATGCCATGTCAGTAGATTCAAACAGTTGAACTCCAACCAGGGAAGTAAAATGCAGATTTGCACACCCTCTCATCAAAAAGGTTCTGCACCCTGGGAGAGCTGCCCCGGTGCTGAAACAGCCTCCGGCTAGGAACAAACGTTGCATTTGTCCCAGACCAAAAAAGTCCCAGGAGCGGTGCGTACGCGTCACACCCTTCAAATCAGGGTTTAGTGAGCGGCTGAATGCTTTCTGCTTTTCTGCGGTTGATTCAGTGATGCAGTCTTGGGACAGTTGTTCAGAGGTGCTTTACAATGTCCCAGAACAAGGTGTTAACACTTTTTAACTCATGAACCTTTTTTAGGGTTTGTCTCTAGACAATGGACATGGATGTTTGAACAACTGCACTTTGTCCCAGGATAAAATAGTCTCTACTGTCAAAGCATTAACAAAACAGATGCTGCTTATGCACAGTAGCTATTCCCCGGATCCACAATAAACACAATGAAGGATGCCTGTTGTGCCAATGAATTGCAGAATAAGGATCTTCTAAAGTCATTACATTCTGTAATCTTAGTAATCCATGGATAATGGCTGTGCCTCTTATTTCATATACAGTGATAGTCTCTCGCATTTATATGGAGATAACGTCTTTGCTGTTCTCATGGACTTATTACAATCTCAGCAGAAGAGACATCAGGGCCTAATGGAACTTGCATTTGTTATTTCAATGGATTCAGTATACACTTCCCATGAGACGAACCCTGACAACCCTTGTCGTGGAGAAACAGAAATGTGTGCAAGGGACACTTTTGTGTAACAAAGAACCACCATCAAAACTACATGAAAACAACCGGGGACCTTATTTAAACCTTATAATTCATGAGACAGTTTTTTACTCGCATCTCAGCCCAAGATGAATGTAGCGGGTACTGTTGTGGGCTACCTACAGGGCATGAGCTACTACAGTGAATATAGGGCATGGGCACATGTACATTTACTTCATTCGGTGTTAGAGAGGTTTTGCTATCAGTCTTTATGGCTGCCAGCTTGTACATATATAATAATTGGAAAGTAACAGCTGCTGCCCTTTTGAAACCTTCCCCTTTTGAAACAGCTCCAAATGTATGTGTCCATATTGTTTGTAGCGCTTGCTTTAAAACACGTGCAGTCTTTCCATTCGTTTCAACAGGCCAGTGGTGCCCTAGCAGTTAAACTGGAGTCTGGTTAAGCTCCAGTGACTCACTCCACAGTCAGATTATTCCAGATTTACACTGGACTCATTACAAACAGAATCTGAAACTGTGACTCCACATTTCTTCTTATTTAGGGACTGCATCAGGATCAGATTTTCAAAAGAACTGTAAGCAGAGCTCCATTAAAAAATGTTCCAGCTGATTACTTTCTTGCAAAAGTTTGATTATGATCAATTAATTGTGCTTTTCTGTTTAAGGTCAAATTTCAGATACAAAATACAATTTGTTTGATGGTCAAGTTCAGATTCAGATGTTTGATCATTTATATAGTACACAACACTGAAATAGCTGTTTTCCTGTATTTTTGCCAAGGTTATACTGAATCCACCTGAAGTAACCAGTTTTCTTTACATATCCTTGCAGATCATGTCAAGATACTATGAAGAAAACATGTCTGCAGTGAAAGGTATTTTTTAGTACAACACATTTCCTTACCCTATAAAAAACAAGTTGTGTTGGTAGTATATGGACAGGGGTGGCCCACGTGCATTCCAGATGTAGAAAGTGTTTCCTGATTTCTTGCCCGTTCATAGTTTGTCCATGGCAAAGCATGATAAATGGATAACCGTTAGCATTTGCTGACATTTTAAGATGGACTTGATGATCACGAACTGTGTCAAGTAGAGTATTGGGCCAGGAGTCAGGAAGAAATCCCAGATTATATATATATTCAAGTGCTATTCAATACATTCAAGTTCTCTGCTTCAGAAAACAAATAGCACTTCCACTGTCACTGAGCTACTTTAATCAAAAGCTAAGCAGAGGTCTGCTTTGAAGCTGGTGCAGTTTTTTAGCCCAAGGAAGGACCATTAAAGAGCATTCTGGCCTCAGAAATCAGTGGAAATGTTGCTTGAGTAAAGAGTACAGAATTAGTCTTATAGCCCTGGACTTTATAAGCCACAGTTTTTTGTTAGAAGGTTATCAGTGGGGTTTGGGCTGTTGGTACTAGCTAACAGATGTTCCAAGCTAACATGTAATTTAAAAGACCTTTAAAGATATTTCATAGGGAATATGGAGAAAAGTTAGGGGAAACTTTGACCTGATCACCCATTAAAGCTAAGTCTGTTACTGACCTAATGTTCAATTAAAAAAATTGACAAAAGTATCTTCAAAACGCTGTCCAATTTGACAGACATTTATATTTCCAGAAATAATAAATGTCTTTATTATTTCTTTTATTCTAATTTGAGATTAAATACTGTGGTCTTTATTCATGCAGCTGAAACTTCGCTAAGTCTTTCAACAACTGAAGATCAGGAATCTCAGACTCCCGTGCACAGAGTAGCAGCTCACATAACTGGAAACAGCAATAGGATGAGTTCATCATTCACACAAAGTAAGACGTTTTGCTACATTGGAAAAGGAAGTAAATATTTTAAAATGGAGAAAGATAATGGACTTTATGTGCTGTGTGGTTTTCCAGAAATGAATAAACCAAATTGATGCTTATCATGAACTGCTGCCTCCCACGACTGGGGAGGCATCATGGCGGTGAGCGGGGAGGGCACCACGGTGGTGAGGACCTCCTGCTGGTGTCGGTGGCAGCGAGCGAGGAGCACCCGTAGCCACTGCTGGCAAGCGGAGACCGCCCACCACTGCCATCAGCAGTGTCAGTGGCGGGGGAGAGGGGTGGTGAGCTTGGACCAGCCGCATCGGCAGTGAGGGGGGGCAGGTGCAAGCAGTGACTGCCCGCAGAAGCTGGCAGCAGCTTGAGCAGTGGCCAAACTCGGGGGGGCACATGCCCCCCGTGCTCCCCCTACGTGTCGCCTATGATGCTTATAGTGCACTTTTTTTTTTTAGTTGTCAAGGACTTAATGAAATGTCTGGTCAGAAAATAGGAAACAGCTTTTTATTAAAAAAAAAGAAGGAAAAAAAAGATTTCCTCGATTTTGCTAAAAAAAACAAAACAAAAAACCATTGAGTTCACTCAAGTCCCTTCCCTCTTCCTTGCTCTCTTTCTCCTTTTGCTGTATCTTCTTGGAAAAATATTTATTGTACAAGATCCCAGATGCTACGATGATAAGCATGTTAGAAATGTAATACACAGATGAGCAGGACAGATTCCCACAAGCTGTTACTTATGAAACGTCTTGAAAAAACCTGCTACCCAATGCTGTTCCATCAGAAGGCAATGTGGACCACGATCTGGCCTAGTGCTCAGACTTGCTTTTTCAAAGGACAGTGTTTGTTGCTGTCTTTGGTGCTTTGGGACTTTATTTAACCCTGTATTTTTCTGTTTCTTCTTAAATAGATTCCTCATTCAGAAGAGGATACGGAAAGAAAATATACTCTTGGGAAGCATCAAGGAAAGGCCATTCTTTTCTCTACAATGTGGAACTGAGAAACGGGGAGTTGATCATACCCAAAACAGGGTTTTATTACATCTACTGTCAAACTTACTTCCGATTCCGTGAACCAGAGGATGAGGATTCAGACTCAGATTTATCGGAGCAAATCAGAAACCCTAAACAAATGGTCCAGTATGTTTACAAACTGACCAGTTATCCAGAACCCATCCTTCTTCTGAAAAGTGCAAGAAGTAGCTGCTGGTCTAAAAAGGCAGAGTATGGACTTTACTCCATATACCAAGGAGGAGTGTTTCAACTAAAAAGGAATGACAGGATTTTTGTCTCTGTCAGTAATGAGGACATAGTTGACATGGACAAAGAAGCAAGCTTTTTTGGGGCCTTTTTGATCAGCTAAATGCTTAAGACAAAGGCAAACCCCAAATGAATCAGGTTTTCATTTTCAGGACTTAGTTTTCTATAAATACTCTAAACAAGGGAATGAAAAGCCTCGTATTCCAAAGCAGTCATGACAATGTGAGACTCCCCATTGTCAGTGGAAGGTCTGATTGCACTGAGAAATGGTCCTTACAGTCCATAAGGAAGAGCAGCTGATGGCTGAAGCTGCATGTGACCATAACTTGTATAAGAGCCAAGCAGATCCCCAAACATGATCTCTCATTTCCAGCCAGTGAACTGAGTTGGAAGGATTTTAACATGCCAAAGATTAATACCTTCAGCTAGAACCAGATCATGTGCAGGTAGGCACTGTCCACAGTTGTTTGTACAACTTTACCAAAGCATCGGCTGTTATTTGTGGCAGTCCATATACACATGATTTGCATAGTGACAAGATTGAGACTGGCTACTTGCATAGCAATTAGACTGAGGTTGGAAAATGGATGTTGCTTGTGGTCATCTTGTGGGAGCCTACCAGGCATATGCTGTAAGTCTCCTTACAAAAGCAGTCCCTCTAGTATCAAGGAGATAGTTGTCATAAGTAAGGGTTTGCACAGCAGCCCTACATATTACAGAAGTTCAAGATAAGCCAAAATGTAGAACACAGCAGCATTTTATATTCAGTGAAGCTCTAATCCACCAAAGCATTTAAGTACATACCTAACATGAAGCTTCTGACTAGCCCAGTTGGAATCAGTGGACTACTCATGTGCTGAGTTGAACATGTGCACAAGTGCTTTGTAGGATCACAGCCCGACCACACAGATTACTCGTGCCTTCATTCGAATGTTGTACAGAGGATAGGAAACAAATAACCAATGTTGTAATGACACGGCAGAGCCACAAAAATCAGTCAATATTTTGAGTTCCCAACACATTATGGTAATATATTGCTTTGTGGCTGCATATTGGACTGCAGATCTTTTGCCACATCACCATATATTCAATTGAGCAACTGCAATCATACATAGTGAGAGTGAGTATTTGATCCAGAATGAAGGTATTTTTCCTTTAAATGTTGCATTCTGCTAAAACTGTATCATTTTGCACACAGTGGGCCCACCTATATGTGTCCCTATGGCATCATTGTTACTGCGCCGCCGTTTAGTACTTTCTTTTGGAAGTACTAAATGATGGCGCAGTAACAGCCCGTACTGTGCCACGCTGGTGGTGCGCGGTTATTTTTAGCTGCTATGTTGCCATAGCAATGTGCTATTCTGAGGGAGTGCGTTGCTACGGCGATATAGCAATGGTGTCATGGTTTTTGCCCGCAGACGCTACGTTGCCAGAGTGGGTTGCTACAGCGATGTAGCATCGTGTGTAAAAGTGTCCACTGAGTGCGACAGAGTTTGTCACGTATATCGGTCTGCAGCCGCGTGCGAGGATGTGATGACGAGAAATGCATTCTGATGACTGATTTTTTAGGAGAACCTTTTCAGTCCTAGACAAAACACACATCACTATCTGTGCTGATTTTTTGCTAATGCTGTTGATTTGCTGGGAGGGGGAGGGTTTTCTTATTTCGTTTTTTGTTTTATAGGGACATGCGAGGACTTCATAGCATTTATTTTTTTTACTGGAACTGAAAACTATATTTGTTAGCTACGTGATTAGAACTGTGAAACGTTTCCAGGAGTAAGCAATATGGCCAGCTAATATAAGTCATCATCAGCATCTGCACTGACTTAAGTGGAGCTATATCAATTTATTCTGTCTGTTCCGGCTCTTCTTCAGTGATAATGCTGTGTATTTCTAAAAGCAGCAGCAGTTAAAAAGCAGTAAGGCAAGGAAGATAATATGAATCAAATTCTCTACAGATGTAACTTAATAGAATTAAATGAGCAGAGAATAAGCACGTCTTATATTTTTTGATATAATAAGGTTGCCTTAGGAGCCATAAAATGATGGAAGCCACAAAACCACCGTACTTACCTGGCTTATGGGCTACATGATAAAATATGTGCAATGTTCATCCTGCTACTTTGTTTTTGGATCAGGAAATGAATTTACGTGAACCATCTTACTTACATTTACTATAATAAGGCAAAAGTGTAAGTATACCAGCTGTTTACTGTTTTCCTTGTCCCTGAGCACCAAGAAAAGCATTTACCAGTTAGAACAATGAAGCAAATGCAAGGAGAAGTATAAACACACGCGTCCGTTCTGTTTGCATACGGAGCAAAATGTATAAATTTTAGTCGTAATCAATTCTGTGAATTGTTCTATTGCTTATAATACCTCTGCTTTCATTGTACTCATGACTCTCACATTATGCAGTCCATACAGACTGTATGAAGACTAGTCCCAGCTTGTTATTTGAAACATTATTTAATTGGATAACTTTCTGACTTTGAACACAGTCAGTTGCAGTCAAGAGTGCATCCACCAGTTCAGTTTAGACCAGTTTCACACTGGTCACTATTGACTGGTGGATGCACTCTTGACTAATACCCTGCATGAAACCAGAATCATAACCTAGATATGTAGCTACCTATAAGCCAGACTGTCACTCTTGCTTTAATTACATTGTATTGTACACCCTGATCCTGAAATAGGACTGCTTGCAATGCACAGAAGCTAAGTATATGTGATGGCTGGTTGTTTCATTTTGATGTTAATGACATGGATTGTAGAGTGAGGGCTGAAGCCTGCTCCCATTGAGAACAATGGAAAAACTTGAATGGTGGAAGATCAAGACCTTAAAAGGTATTCGCAGTGAGTAAAGGTTGTGCTCATTTTCAAACTATATTCCAGTCTTTTTTCTGTTCAGTTTTCATACAACAATAATTTGCAGAATTGTAATCCAAATTCCCTTCCTCATTTCAATTTTTGATTCCACAAAACCCCTCTTTTCTACACGTGCACTGGATTGTGCAGGTGTTACTGAGCAGTCCTGGTGCTGCATGGGTCGTTTCTGATGCTACTGTGCATAGGCTCATTGCTACTGCGCAGTAGCGTCGGAGTCATGGTTCGTGCCTGTCGACATTACATCACTGTAGCAATGAGCTATGTCACTGTAGCTTGTCGCTCTGGCGACAGTGTCTTGTTAGATGCACCCTGTATGTATATATTCTCATGCTACTCCATTTTGGGAGAATATGGCACAAGGACTAGTACACTGAATCTCATTTTATTGCCCTGTATCTAGAAATGTGCTTCTAGAGATATTATCCTGGGGAAACACTATCAAGCAATATCTGAAAAGAATAATTTGAAGATCAATAGAAAGATATACCTACCATTTCAAGTGGTGAATTTGATCTTTCTCATTTGCTCACCTTGTCCTGTCCCCTCCCTCCACTTTGAATGCAGAATGTAGCAGTTATTTGTGTTCGTTGTGTTTTTGACGGTTTTTAAAAAAAAACTTGTAATTTTTTGAAAGTTATATGCTTTTTATATAAAATACTTCTAGTAAATAACTATTTGTCCTTTTATTATTAACCATGTCCTTTATACCTACCTTACCTTAGTCTGAGAGTCTGATTCTGTTTGATCTTAGGGAGCTTTTCTATCGACTTCAGTGCAAATGGGGAAGGCAGATGAAGGGGATTGAGCCACTTCCCTCTGCATACACACATGCAGAGAAGAGCAAGTATGCATGGGAACAGGCTGTACAGGTGCACTCTACGCTGGGAAGTTCAAACAAGGATGCTGCCTCCTGGAAACACTGGCATTCACCTGAGTTCTGCCTGGGTTGGTGGGTCCATATCACCACTGCAGCTTGGGGCAGAATCAAAACAGCACCATCTGGCCAACACTATTCACCATTCACACTCCTTTAATCTATTATCTTGCATATTTCTTCCCATACAACACACCTTTTTCCAAAAAATCTGCCCGCTAAATTGGGGTGTATGCATTAAACAGGGAAGCTGATTTTCTGCCCAGGATAGAAGCATCCTGCTTTGATTCCTTCTCCACTGTGCAGCACCTGTAGCATTACTGTTTGGGCAGCTGAGGGAGTCAATTCACTTCATGGCTTTTTGTTCTTCATTTCTTAGGTGTTAACATCCTCTCTCCTTATTAATGGTCTTCATGTTCCATCAATCAAGCTAACTTTTCTGAGGCAACTTTTGCTATTGACTAGCTATTCCCGGTCTCTCTCCTTATTTCCCAGCCCTGGAGATTTTTTAGCTATTTTCAAGATCGTATATCTATCTATGGAGATCAGTCTTCAGCAGCAGCTAGGGTTTCAGCTTTAGTTAGGCAAGAAGGGGAAGGTGAAATTAAAACAAAGATTAAGCTCTGTCCCTGAGCTATGCAACCATAACTCTGAAGAAATCTTTCCCCCCCGCCACTTCATTCTTCCTTTCAAAAACAAGGTATGTATTATATTCTGGGGAGTGCTGTATGCAAGAACATAAGAGCATATGGTACTTCATTGCACCAGTCCTAAAGGCTCCAGACATTGTTTTATGTACAACAATATAACTGCAATATGGTCCATGTCCTAGTGATCATACAAGCCAGGTAAATTTACTACAATGATTGTGTTATTATTTATCTGGAGTGCAGGACACTTCAAACCATGGTAATCAAGCCTCCAGTCCTGCAAGCTAATTCATATGAGTGGATCTCTGCATCTACGCAGAGCCCCATTAAAGCCAAGCCAGAGGTCTTCCATGACTAAAAGCCCAAGTTTGTAACGAGGCTCCCTAGTATATGCCTCAAAATGATAGTTCATTTTATATCTCTTGCTTTTGACTCATTGTTATGGGAACACATTAGCTAATTGGTTTTCATTACACAGATTACTGTTGCTTCCCTATTAGTTAATTGAATTAATATTGTTTTCATTTCAGTAATACCCAAACAGCATCAGAGCCTCATAGTATTAGGTGTAAGAATGCATGGCACGAACTCTGATACAAACCGCATGTTTTTCGGATTAAGCTAATATCAGCTATTAGGGCTTAAGAGAAGACCTAATGTGAGAAGCAGATAATCCCACATCTGCTTAATGTTGTACCTTCCTCCAAAGCCTTGAGGGCCTGCCAGTGTCAGAAAGGGGATAGTGGATCAGATGGACCTTTTTACTCAGATCCGGATATGAAATTCCTGAAAAATATGCCAGAGGTCAGCAACATACAGCCCACAGTGCCAATGGATCTAGTCTGCAGAGCTGGAGGGCTTTGCCTGTGCCTGCATCATGTAGGACTGGGCAGAAGCAGCTGTATCTGTGCTGCCGTGGCTTCTCCCTGCCTCTCCCCCTCCCACAGCTGCAGTGTGGGTGCAGCTTCCAGTCAATGGGGAGCTGTACCAGGGCCAGGCAGCTTCCAGGTGTGCTTGTGCCGCAGCCAAGAGGCAGGGGTTAATGAGGAGAAAAGGCAGCAGTATAGACACAGTTTGCAGCTGTTTGGCCCTGGTGCAACTCCCCACTAGCTGGAAGAGCTGGGGGAAGTGGTGGTGGTGCAGCACAGCTGCCTGGCCCCAGCATGGGCACAGGGAAAGCCGCCCTGCTGCTGATTCACCACTGAAACCACTTAGCCCACATCAGACAAGAGCTAAGTTGTTCTGGCCCACCACTTGTTAAAGGTTGCGCCTGGGACAAAGGTTGCTAAAGGGGCTCCTTATTCCAGGGACTGGAATATAGCACCCCGTTTCTCCTAGCCTTTTGAATCTATTGCACAAGAGTCTCTTGTCATTTTTAGTGCCCTTCTCTGGAAACTTTGTGTTCTTCTTAAGATGAAACAACAGAAACTGAGTATCACATTCAAGGTTAAATATGTACCATCAGTTTATATAGTAACAGATGTGGATTTATGCACGGGCCTGTGGGCCTCTGCCAGTCAGGGGTCCCCTGGGTGTCTGGGTTCCCTCGGGAAATGGTGGGTTTCCCCTTGAGGCCCCCACGGTAAAGGAGGGATGGGGCAGGGCCTGGGGGTGCTGCCCAGCCAGGGCAGTGCATGGGATCTAGGGCTGGGACAGGGAGCAGGACAGAGCCCTCGTTCAGGAGGTGTGGGTAGAGCATCTCCCTCCCACTGCATGCACCCCCTGGGGGAGGGGGGGCCATGTGCCCCTCCATATTTGTGCACGGGGCAGATGCAGGCTGCTCACTGTGGGCTCAGGGCTCTCTGCTCTCCTGCCTTTTCCTTAGGAGCCCCGTACCAGTCACATGCCCCCTGCCCACCCGGCAGCAACGGGGGCAGGGAGTTGTGCCTCCTGCTGCCAGGAGGGAAGGGGGCATACGGCCAGCATGGGGCTCCTAGGGCAAAAGCAGCAAAGCCGAGATCCCAAGCCAGTGGCAATGCATAGGGGGTGCATGTAAACCCCCTGACGTGCCGTGCTTGCTGCTTAGGTGATGGGCGGGGGGGCAGGCAGGGGCATTGGTGCCTGCCCTGTGAGTGCCTGCTGGAAGTAGCTGCAGTGATCGGCTGCCTTGTGATCAGCTGTGGGGGGACCCCCCCTGCCCATTGGTGAGATTGGCCGCAGGGGGACTCCCCCCCCCGTCACTGACTGGTCACTGGGGGGGCATATGCCCCCCGACTAAGGTGGCACCAGTTGCCTATACCCCAAGCCCAGAGCGGGCAGCCTGCATCTGCTGTCACGCCCCTTGGCTCTGCTCTGGCCATGGCAGGGATGCAGGAAGGAGAGGTGGGCATGTGCCACTCCACCCCCAGCCTGGCACATCCATCCTCCCTGCCCTTGGCAGCAGCAGCACCAAGAGGGGAAGGGGCCCGTCCCCCTGCTGGAGTCTGTGCGGGCCGGGAGCGACCCGAGCCCTTTTCGCGCTGCACGCGGGCTGTGGCCAGCAGCCCGGGCATGCCGGGTCAGAGAGGGAAGGCCTTCGAGCTGGAATTAGGCACAAACGCATAGCGGTAGTTTAAAAGATTGTTTACTTACACCGAGATGGCAGTGGTGTAGGCTGGAAAGCTTGCTTGAGTTGCGGTTACAGACAGAAAAGAAAACAAAACTCGAACCTGCAGAACACGAGGGTACGTCGCAAAGGGTTCCGGCGACGGGAAAATAAACCTGCAGGACTCGAACCCGGGTAGAAGAGCTCTGGAGTCGTCCGGCAAGGACTCTCACGAAGTTTGCTAGGCTCCGTGGGTCCGGTTCTTTTGCGCGCGGGAAGGGATACGTCTGGATTGTGCTCGGCGACGGGGAGAGGCTAGAGGTTGATCAGACCTCCGTTGCCTGTTTTAAATGCACTGGATCCGTAAGGATCCGCAGCACTTAGAGATCTTCACACAGCGTGAAGTCCAATAATGGGACTCAAATTAGCATACAAATGGCGGGAACTCTTTGCAACGAGCATTTCTGTGCTGCCACAAAGAAATGCACCCTGCAAAGAAAGCTTCAAATTGGCGGGAAACTCGTCCCTTGCACCAGGGTTTTCTTTTGCAGCAGAAAACTCCACCGTGCAAAGAAGCTACAATTTAGCGGGAACAATTTAGCAGTGCCGAAGCACACAAAAACAAAAATCACACCCTTTGGGTTGTGACAGAGTCCAGCTCCTGGGACTTGGGGCCTGGCTGCATGGAGTGGCCCGGTTTGTCCAGGCCTGTGGCCCTGCCCTGGGCAGAGGGAGGAGAGCAGGGAACCTGGCCCAGAGACCACCCAGCGCCGGGCAGCCAGGAAGGCTCACACCTTCCCCCTCAGCCCTGCTGGGCAGGCTCAGGCAGCTGCTCCTTGGTACTCTGACATGTGCTCCAGGGGTTGGGGGAGCACTTTAATTAAAGCAGCTCTGAGAGCCACTCACAGCATCTCATGTATCAGCATCCCTGCACTTAAAAATGGTGGTGCAGCGTTTTTTAATAAATTAATATTCATAATGGAGTGTGGGGGGGGCCTCCAATTTTCTGTTTGCCCAGAGCCCCAATAAATCTTAATACACCACTGTATAGTAACTACTGCAAATACTAGTCTGTGCTATTTCCCCCACCTCAGCTGACTGTGTAACCACCATTGGTAAACTAGACTGTCTACACTACAGCACCACTGCCATCTGTTTCCAGAACATTTTTGAATCAGAATCCAGCTATCCCTACTATCCTCTTCTCATATTTATACAGGCAACACAAAATATATCAGCTGTTGAGACAGTAATGATGGCCAATGGGTTATGGTCAATGCACTGGTTCCTGCTATTACAGTGTTACCGGCTGTTTAAATAGCTTCTCACCTTATGAACTGTTCCTGCCAGATCCATAATAATTCATATTCCTTCTCTATGATTCACATATCCCCATTATAGTGGGCCTCTCAAGTCTTGATATGTATGGTTTATATAGCTTCTATATCCTTAGCAACTGTTAGGGAGTCGTTCATGTTTTACATATGGAGGGAGAGATGGGTGATCGAGTCCTAGCCACGTATTTTTCTCAAATGTATTTTTGGTCTTGTCTGGTTAAAAATGTTCAAGATCACGTTATTCCCTATTGTACCTATCCTACATATAACCACAGGGTGAGGACAAAGCAGATTTTTCTGCACATTTTCAGTTCTGGCAAATTCAGCCAGGCAGCTACCGTTCTCTTCCTACCATGAGAAGCAGGAGTACCTACAAGCAAATATGGTTAGGCACTATTTATTTTCCAGTCCCACCCTGGAGCTTTGAACACAGATACCAGGCAAATAATGGTTTATAACAATAAAATACATATACTACTCAGCCTTCAAGACTGCACAGTTCAGTACCTTACAAATGACTGCAAAGCTTTCTGGACTAGTAGTGTAAATCCTGCCAATAGTAAAATCTTGCTACCTGTGAAGACAAGGAAAGAAAAAACCCATTGAGTCAAAACCTGCAGCCCTTCCTTACATAAGCAGAACTCTCAGTGACCTCTATAAGTAACACGGAATACATTTTTCATGACTCTTATGCTGCGACTTATTTTATAAAACCCAGGGTAGATAAAAATCAACCATTTTTTAAATTTAAAAAATCAGATTTTTAAAATTTAAATCAGATTTTTTTATTTAATTATATTTTTTAAAGATGCTTTAAAAAAACCGAACCCTATATAAAGATAGTTTTAATTCAAGATATGTTGAAGATCAAAGATATCAGCGTGGAATAGGGATGATAAGTTCCAATTATATAGTACTTGAGACAATATACTTATGTAACCTTTTTAGAAAAGTTTTATCAATAGGTCACAACAAGCCATGGACGATATTAGGGGACAGATCTTACGGGGTTCCCAGAAGCTCCTCTATAGATTAGTAAAGATTAAAGAAAAACACTACCCAATGGGACTCAGTGCTCAATCTAAAACAACCCATTAACCCATTAATGGGTTGCTTAGTTTCAGTTCTCAAGCTGTGGATTTTTGTCTTCAGAGATAACATCCTTGTTAACAGCAGTATATGGAGATGAGATAACAGACCTGATTACCTACCCATCAGCCCTATTGTCTCTTTGCAAGTTTCGGTACACAGAGTCAATCCCTTACCTCTCTGTAAGGCAGTGGCAGGCAATTATTCCGGGCTTAGGGCCGCTTACTGAGTTTTGGCAAACTGTTGGGGGCTGCATTTCCCTTTCTGGCGCAGGGAAGCAGGAACAGCCCTATGGTCCCAGGCTAGAAGCCTCTGCTAGGCAGGAGTTTCTGGTTGGGGGGCCAGGGCTGAGCAGACCTTGCTGCTGGGTCCTGCCACTAGTTTCCTCTGGGTCCTACTGCCCCTGGCTCTTGTCATCTTTGACAGGCAGCTAGGAGCAAATAAATATGAATTTTCTAATTTTTTTGGGGGTCCTACAGGCCAGATAGAATGGCTTGGCAGGCCGGATCCGGCCTCCGGGCCATATTTTGCCCACCCCTGCTCTAAGGGCATGGCCTTTTTGTAAGTACTAAATGACGGCACAATAAACCACATACTGCACCATGGTGCACAGTTATTTTTAGCAATTACACTGTAGCGGTGCACTATACCGGGGGAGCACATCACTACAGCAAAGTAGCTATTGGTCACGTGTAGACCCGTGCAGATGCTAAAGTACAAAGTTTCAAGAAGAGTTTGGATATAAATACAAGGAGGGAGGAGCAGTAGAAACAAAAGATAACTATTTTGAGCAGAATATTCCAGAAGTCTTGAGGGATAAGTTTCTGAGTATACCCTCTCCATTGATTTGAGATCTAGTGAGGGAATGGTATGGTAGGAGGGAAAACCTATCATGGTAGCAGGTTGCCAGGCTATAAAAGAGACCCTGTGTGCTAGTATTTTAATGAAGTTTCCTCTACCCATTGGTAAGACAGGCATGCATGCAAAATGCAAAAAGTGCAACAAAAATACAAGGCCTGGTTGCCTGAATGAAACAACATCATGAGGAATGCTCCTTCTCAGGAGGAAGCTGCTTTGAAGATGATGAATAGAGTATGTCTGAACATGCAGGATCTCCAGGTTAGTGAACTTTCTTATTCCATACTTCTTTCTTAAGGACTGCCTGTCTTCACTGTCCATATCTTTCTGGACTACTTGGATTCTCATAAAAATGTTTGAGCAAAACTATAATTGTTAGTTTATGGAACTATCTTATTTAAATGCAGTTGTGTTATAAAATAATGACTGAAATATGCAGATCTTCCTTTTACAGTTTCCCTTCTAATGTAGTACTGAGTGCAATGAATAATACTAAATGAGCAGCACTGTAGTGACTGCACTGACTTATTTTGTTCAAGAGGGTCCATCATCAATTTACAGGATTCTGACTATCCATCTCCAACATCAACATTACTGTCTAGTTTCAGAGTTATCTACTAACGATGCCAGCCTTCCAGTCAAACGTACATCACATAGTATATCACCTGTAGCAAAAAGAAAAAAATCTCCATCATCCCAAAACAACCACAGGTAAGTTTGTAATAAGAACCAGCAGATTACAGCAAGAGGTAACTGATGAAAAAATGGCTCAGTTTATTTATGCAACAAACTCTCCTTTCCATACGGTTGAGAACACATACTTTGCTGACATGGTTTAGTCATTACACCCCGGATACAGTCCGCCCAACAGAGCTGATATAGCTTGCAAATTGCTGTATAAAGTGTATGAGAAAGAAAATAAACAGTGTGCAAAAAGGCTAGAGGGGAAAATAGGTTACCTGAGTCTTGATGGGTGGAGCAATGTCCACAGTGAT